TTTAAGAATGCTACCGTATAGTGGTAACTATATGCACTTGGTTCATTGCAATTATCAGACAGGACATATTAGCATAAATATTTGACTTAAGTGTTTGTTGGTATGTCCTTCCTCACAATAGCTGAAATTAAGAGCTTGGATTTGATCAGTGAGCAGGGCTGAGTTGAAATCTAGGGATTTCCTGAGCTGTGATAATTAATGTATGGACAATCACTGGCAGAAGGGAACTTAACAGCCTGGTGTGGTTGAATTAGGGATGGTAGTAGAGCCATGAAGACATGGAAGACTTGCCTTCCAAATTCAAGGGCAGCTGAAATGAAGTCCAAATGAGGTGAAAACCAACACTGGCTGGAAAGAAATTCAGTCCTTGTAGCTTTAATTAGAGCCATAGTGGTGTGTGCCCCATGAAGGACCCCAAATTCAGTTTTGGAATCATGCCAGAGCTCTGCTCCATCCTTGACCTTCTTCCTTTCCACCATACCTGATTCTGTCCCAGCTGGTGAGAAAACAGTGTTGAGATAGTTCCTCTCAAAGACTTACTGAACATACTCGAGCCCCTCAGAGATGCTTGGCAGAGCACGTACCATGGAATCAAGGAGAATAGCTAATGTGAGCCTAGAAGGCATAATTAACAATGCAAGGGATTTAGACCCGTAAGTCTAAGGATGACCCCAGCTGTCAATGATCCCTAACAATGCAGGTGACAGGTCTGGTGATGCAGAGCTTGTCTTTCAGGACATTGTCTAAACTGATAGTCCAACACCTCACAGTCCTATATACATTTATCTTTGTAACAGACCAACCAGGGCCAAGTTTTAGATTATAAGCAGGCAAGATGCTCAGAGGTACTTGGGAGGCTTCAGTACACCTGTTTGGAACCTAAGATGGATGCAGACATCACTTATGGAGTCCAGATACTATTGGGAAGAAGGACTTGGAGTGCTCATTGTGCAGGGTACCGTCCTGTTCTAGCTGTGCATTTTTTCTAGTGGGTACGTGGCCACCTGATGGGTTGTTTTGGCTCACTAATCTGTCTGAAAACTAGTGGTCTTTGATCTTTTTTTGATACACTGAAGGGCTGCACAAACGCTGGCTTTGGTGTAATGGAAAGGAGATCATAACAACCTTCCTGTACTGCCCTGCAGTCACAGGGTGACTTAACCACCCATGAAAACACACCCTGGAAAAGTTGTCATTTGTGTGTCCAAGTGCATCCAGAAAGTCCAACTGGTAGAGAGGCTTGAACCCAGTTTCTGGGTGAGCAGCCCATAACCTGTGGCCCCTCCTTGTTTCTCCATTGGCTGAGAGACCCACATGTGATGTCAGGTGCTTCTGCCAGTCCCTTGCCTATCTCTGGACTATTTCATAGAATCATAGAATCAGCTGTTGGAAAAGACCTCTGAGATCATGAAGTCTAACCCTTGATCCAACACCGCTGTGGTTACTAGACCATGGCACTAAGTGCCACATCCATTTCCATCTTAAAAACCTCCAGGGATGGTGAATCCACCACTGGGCAGCCCATTCCAATGCCTGATTACCCTCTCTGTAAAGAATTTCTTCCTAAATATCCAACCTAAACCTCCCCTGGCAGAGTGTAAGACCGTGCCCTCTTGTTCTTTATCTTTAACCCCTCTGAAATCAAGGAGCAGCTTGATTGCACCAAAATGCATCACCACATGCCACTTGGTATCACCACGTGATTTTACCAACATCATTGTTGGTAAAAATCCACCAGCTCTAATGTGCCAGGCTCCCATCAAAAGGGGCTCTGGGAGGAAGATGCCATGTGTTTCCTTTAACCTACAATAAAGCAAAGCAGTTCAAAGAGTTGGAAAAGGAGGTTAACAATCTCTTTGAAGTGTAGGTTCAAATTCCCAGCACAGCCCCAGTCAATTATCAGCAAGCGCCGTGACACATCTACCGCTAACAAGGAAGAGGAGGGAGGGAAGCCTGTGGTGCAGAGGTCCCAATGGGCAGCGACAGGGGTTAGAGGACATCACCACGGTGGTGGGAAAGTTTCCAGGGGCAAGACTTAGGTGTTTTTTTTTCAGGTTGATTCACTCCCCTGCTGTGCACCCAGAGTGAAGGCTGGGCCACTGGAGTGAATGGAGCTGTGAGGGAGGCAGCACATTCCCCTGCTTGAACCCCCTTGCACCCGGCAAGGCTTTTTTGAGGGATGTGCAGGCACAACAGCACAGCGGGCTGCTGCTTTCTCTGGGATGTTCCTCTGTGGCAGCATGAACCACTTTTATTTTAATCCCATTAATGAAAGGCAGTGCAGGGGTGGGGATGGGGCAGGAGGGGGGAGGGTTTGTTTTGGCGCTGAGGATGGGTGCACACAGGCATACAAATGCTAGGAGACAAAGGCTGTGATTAAGGGCTGGTACTCCAACTCCCTGCTTATTACAGGAAAGGATTTATCTGATGGCCTAATTTCAGCTCCAGTTTTCCACCTTTTAATCAGGTTCCCAGGTCTGCTTTTCCACTCATAAAAGGAAGGAAGAGGAAATCTCGGGGTGATGGAGCAGGAATAATGCTCTATAAACATGCATGGGGCAGAGAGTTTTGCTGCCCCAAACTTTCCCAGGAGGCAGACTCCTGGGCAGGCAGAAGGATTATGCCCAGCCATGCAGCATTATTTTCTGGCATAGCAAGAGAGCATCCATGCTTTCCTGCCTGACCAAGCCAGGGTTGTGTGAAACAAATGTGCTGGAAATAAAAACCTCCTGCAAAATGGAAAATGTACAGACGAGCAGCTATTTTTAAGAGACAGCACCTACTGCTGTTATGAAGTCAGTCACATAATCAGTTAGCAAGGGGCTTCTGTGGGCTGACAGCTGACAGCCAGGAGAAACAGCTCCAGCAGACTGATGAGAAGAAAATGAGTTTTTGGCTTCTACAAGATGCGTGTTTTCTAATGAAGAGAAGAATTTCTGTCCTGTACTGCCCTGGGCACAAGGTGGATGGGGGTAAGCGACCCTCAATGTCTTTCCCAATGTGCTGGAAAGAGGAGTGAGCTGCTGCTAACTCTCCAGGAGACAACACTGCAAGCAAATGCTAGCTCAGCCACCTCTTACCCCTCCCTAACCCAGCCTGTCCTTATTGCCCAGCATTTGCTGAGGTTTTCCTGCTTCTAAAAATGTTCAGCCTCTAATTAAAATGCCCATCTTGCTTGCCAGGGCAAACGTATCCGGCCACAGAGCTGAGTTAGTTCTGGAGACGGCCAAAACTTGCAGCTAGCCAACCTGGCTGGCTTTCCTGGCAAGGGTGGCTTTCCTGGCATGGGTTTATGTCTGACACTAGGTGCCCATCATACCATTTTATCAAGCTCACAGCAGCCTCAGGAAGCTGGCATGAGGGCCTCCTCAGCTTATCCAACCCTGAAGCCACCATGTGCCTTTCCTCCTCTGTGAGGTCATTAGTGCTGTTTCAGATGTTCACACCCCATTGGTGAAGAGGGAACATACATGGGCAATGTGGAGGTTCATGTTGCTGAGGGAGGCTGGCATACTTCTTCCCATTCAAAGGACTTTGGAAAGGGTATTTAAGTAAGAAATAACAATTGAAATAATGTTTTAATTTACAACAATTAAAACAATATTTTAATTAACAACAATAGAAATAATTAACTGATTTATTAAATAATGAATAAAAATCACTAGAAAAATAAGATGTTAAGGCAAGGCCCCAAAGAAGTACTGGGAGGGAAAAGGAGCATCATATGTGTGGGGCATTCACAGTGAGGTTGGAAAATACAGCTTCAGACCCATGGGTCCAAGGACAGTGTCCCTCCCCAGGAGAGGAAGACATTCTCCACTGCTCTGACTGAGCCCACACCCCAGGGCAGAATGGATTTCATCCAAAAGGAGGGAGGTCTAATGGTCACAGCCTTATGGTGAACAGCACAGGAGCTGTCATCTCTAATGGTTGGTGGTGGCTTTTCCCTACAGTCCATAATAGTTCTGTGAGCAATATCTGGCCTCTTCTGGTGATTTCACCCCCCAGGTTATAGTCTGACTGTACCTTGTATGTCACCCTGGAGGACAGTGCAGTTTGAGGAAGCAGATGAAGAACTAACAGCTTCTTCCAGGCAGCCTGCAGCTCTGCAGTTCTTCCTTCAGGCTTTGAAGGAACAGAAACGCCGCAGCTACCCAGAGGCAGTTTACTCAGTGAGTCTCTGCTTGCACCACTTTTATACACAGCATCAAGAAGTACTTAAAATTAAATTTACTATTTAAGAGCAGGAATACCCCTCCAGAGAAGTTTCTGTTTATTTTTTAGGTACAATGGCTTTGCATGCCCTTAGCCCTCCATGCAGCAGCCCCCACTCCTCAGAGAGCGCTGCTGAGACTGGATCATGTGTATCTCACTGCTGAAAGCTCTGCAGTCTGGCAGTCTGCTGCTTTCTGTGCCATGGCATCGCTTCTGCACCCATTTACTCCCTTCCACACCCACAGAACCATAGAATCCTTAAGTTTGGAGAAGACCTCTAAGATCATGGAGTCCAACCATTAATGCAACACTGCCAAGTCCACCACTAAACCATGTCCCTAAGTGCTACATCCACATGTTTTATAACACTTCCAGGGACTTGTGTGTGGCCTCTCCTCACATCACCCATGCTACAAATCCAGCCTTTCTACACTAGCAGACCATGTCCCAGATTGGCCAAATCCATGAAGAGGTCTCCACTATTTCTTACAACCTTTGGAGTAGATCCTGGAGCAGGGAATTTGTGTGACATACTCTTGTGCTGCTTCATTGCCATGTGTTCCTAATTTCCTTCAAGTCAACCAGTGAAGGTCTCAAGCCTTTCTGCCAGTGAAGAGCACAGTGAGCCAAACACAGTGGGACAAATCCTGCCCCCAGTATGGAGATGCAAAACCCATGACAGTGATGGGGATAAGCCAAGCAGGGAGATAAGCTGTATTGCACTTCAGACTCAGTGACAGCTGTCACCCTCCCAGCACTAAAGCAATAAATCTGGGGGATCTGGGTTTATTCTCCTCCAAACCACTTTATTATATTGTGAGTAATCACAAAGTCTTACAATGCTGCAGAGATTCTTTTAAAAAAACAAACTTACACAGCGACAGTATTTGCCAGCTTTTGCTAAGACTAGTTTAGCTAGCAGCTAGCATGAGATTATACAAGGAAATCTTGCAGTCTTCAACTGGATTGTCACATTGAGTTTTAAATTTACCACAGCACTGAAAAGACAGTAATTTTGACAGTAGGTGATACCCCTAATGTTTCATCTATGTACAGACGTAAAAAATTAAAAAAATTTCTCTTTTTAAAAAAATACATTTTCTGCCAGCAGAAAAGAATTATCTTAAAAAGGCAAGATCAACTAAAAAAACCCACTTCTTTCATCACAAACTGCCCCCATCTTGCAGTGCAGTTGGTTCCTGTTCCCTTTCAGATCTCTGCCAATAAGCAGTCCCATTGCCTTTTTAAGAAAATCAATGTGTTTTCTGTGACTGTGAATGCTGGTTGAGCATTGCTAAGGCTCAGTAGAGGGGTAAAAGCCCCAACACTGAAAGGGTAAAAATCCCACCCTAAGGTCTCCAAACAAATTATTGAAATGGACATAGGTGGAAATGTGAGAGACAGATTTCAGTATCCAAAGTGAGGCGTTGACTCTGACTTTTGTGGAGTCAGTGGGTTTCAACCATCCCTGAAGTCAGCTGTTTTGAGCAACAGAGTTTCCATTTGCAAAGACCATTGGGCGTATGGGGATGAAACCTGAGCTTCTTCCAACACTCCAAAGGATAGTTGTGAGATGGATTTATATCTGCATCACCTTTACATCCATCTCCCTGTATCAGTTTCAAACATTGATGCAAGGCTGGGTTTACAGATCAAACTGCAGGTCAGTTTGAGCAGGACCCCATTCACAACACCCCTTCCCATCCCCCAGGACAGAACACTCCAGATGTGGACCAGACCTCAGCAGTCACATCCATTGGTCCTATAAGGAAGTTGAAGGCTTCACACGTGGCATTTAGTCATGCCGAGCTGCCTTCTCCCACTTTCTCCTAGCCTGGAGGAGAAGAAGGTCCACAGGGACTCCCCTTTTCTTTGCCAGCATTTCAACAGTGGAGTGAAAAATGATCAAATCTTTGAGGACCAGGATTTTTATCAGATTTTGGTTGTCAGCCAAGTAGTTGTGTGAGAGAAAGAAAAGCCACAACTCTGGAAAAAAACCCCAAGATCTTTTCTCTGATAAGCAAAGTGCTCCATGGTCACCGACATCAGTGCTAATTCTTCCCCTGGCACAATCTCAAGAGCGTTTTGGTGCTGGAAGTTGCCTTACATATGCCCAGATGAGTAGCAGATGTGGTGTTCAGCATGGAAATAACTTACTCTCATATCCTCTAGGTCTGCGTCTTGGTTTGATAAGGTTGTCAAGACAAGAATCCCTGTCAAAGTTTCCTTCCTTCCAAGCTTTCCCAGGAAGGGAGGAGGGATTTTTTCTTTTTTTTTTTTTTTTTCTAAAATAGGCTACCTGATCTCTTCCCTTTGCAACCTCCTTCATCGAAGGCTGGTTCTTGGATGAGATATGGCTGTTGGCAGACCCCTCTGCTTCCCTTCCTCTGCTGCACATAATTTCTGAGCAATGGCTTGCTGAGGTTAAAAAGACAGGAGGTTGCCAAAGCTGGAACCAATTTAATTAGACATGAAAAGGATAAGGATGGAAAAACAGGGAGAAACTTGTGGGAAAAGTTCTTGACTTAGCTTTTGTTGCACACCTATGCAAATAACATGTAAAACCCAGCACATTAGGAGCACCCTGTGTTCAGCTTTGTCTGGAAATGTTTCTTCAAGACTGAAAGTGCATGACAAAGAACAGGGTGCTGCTAATGAGAGCAACATCCAGAAGGCACATTTTGGGGAGTAATAATTAAAAAAAGGATGATGCATGGGTTTGTAAGTAAGCAGCTGCAGAGTTGGTACGTTTTGGTGTGTGCTTTGGAGAGATGTAGCTTTGCTCCTACAAACATGTCTGAGGCATGAAGGTTTGCTCTAGACTGATTGTTCTACTATGGGACCTGCAGAGCAGCTTGGCCCCCGTTGTCCAGCATCACTGCTCTTGGCCAACATGATGAGTGCAGGACCAAAATGCACCAGGTAAAGTTTGGAGCCTGCAGATAATGTGGGCCAAGATTTGAGAGTTTATAAAATGCACAATCAACTAACTATTGGCATATACAAATATATAAATTATTGACAGTTTTACAAAAGGCACACTGCAAGCCATCTCAGTCCAACACCTACACAAATCCCATGGCCCTCCACCCTCCCTGTCCCACCCCTTCTTCTCCTCAGCTTTCACCACGAAACATAAGGTGCTGCTGCTATGGACCCATGGCTATCATGGCAAATGAGAACTTCTTTTTTGGTCAGCCCAATTTGTCGGTGGTACTGTCCTTCTTTGATGGTCTTAAGACACTGTATGTTCTTCCCCAAGGTGATGCTTTTGATGGAGGGCAGATATTTCAGCACAGTCTTTGGCAAGGACAACACACCTGTCCCAGAGAGATTGAGCTCTTGTAGGGAGTTCAGACCAAAGATAACTTCGGCAGTCAGTGAACTCAAGTTGGGATTGTTGGATAAATCCAGAACTTGAAGGGCTGAGAGTTCCTTGAAGCTATGAGGAGATAACTCTTGAAAGCCACGCAGGCCACTGAGGGATAAATGAATCAAATCTTTCAGCCCTGTGAAGTCTCCTTTCTCAACCTTGACTAGAGGGTTCCCATCAAGATTTAAGTATCGGAGAGGAATGCCTTGAAGGTTTGGCACGAATGTTAGCCTGTTTCCAGAAAGATTTAAATTCTGAATGTTGGGGATGCTCTTTTTATGGTGCCTTGTAATTGTGCTGAGCATATTATTGGATAGATCCACATTCAGGGATTTTCCTTGACCTTTTGATGCAAAAATATCCATAGCTATATCCAAGAGCTTGTTATTGCTCAAATCTATGTCGCCAAGAGGAGAACTGGAGAAACAGTCTTCTGGAAGGACTTCCAAAGAGTTATGACTCAGATCCAAGGACTCCAGGTACCGAAGCCTGGAGAAGGTTGTGGAGGAAATCTTGGCAATTTTGTTGTAGCTCAGGTCAAGACTCACCAGTGTGGTGTATCCAGGGCCTGTAAGCATTGATTCATTTATTGTTTCCAGTTTGTTTGATGATAGATCCAAGTAGGAGGTATCCAGAGGTATTGGGACAGGAACAATATGTGAGCCTATTCCACTGCAGTCCACCTTGGTCAAGCTAAAACTGTCAAAGAGACCAAAGGTTTCCACTTCACAGTGGCAGCCGGGGAAGCAGGTTTTGGTCATACCAAAACAAGGAAGGAGAAGCAGCAAACTGAACCAGGCCAGGAACTGCATTGTACCTGGAAAATAAGATAATAAGAAAACAGATTAATTGCTGTAGAAATTACTTTACGGAAGATGTGTAACTCTTTGAGCTATGCATTCTTCTCCTCTCTCTTTCCAAAAGGATAGGTTAAGAATAGCCTTAAATAGCATGGATATCCCAAACACCCCAGTGGGAACTTAATGGAGAAAACAAATTGGGTCAACAGTCTTTGCACATATAACCAAGTTAAGACAAAAGTGGAAATGAGCTGCAAGAACAGTAGGCTGCCTTAAAGCACAATCTATCTGACATGCATCCTTTTGACAGGACCATGGAAGAAGCTAAATGACAGCTCAAACACTGAGTCATTTTACAACCTGGAAAACTTCAGCAAACAAAGGTCTTCATGTCAGAACATCCCTGTGAGATTTGGGAGCACCGAATTCAAGACCTGAATTGACAGGTTGGAGAAATCATTCAGACTGTGGGAGTCTTAGGTGTCCAAAAGCCTTATCAGAAGAGGAAAAAGCAAAGTTCCATTCAAATTTTCTGTAGGGAACAGATAATGGCATCATCAAAACAACATCCGGGATGAACAGCTAAAAAGGCCACCTGCTTACTGCCCAAATGGACAGAATGTCTCCCTTGGTCAGACTTCAGATGCAAATTTAGAAGTTTTTAGGTAGGTATGATCATGTTTTTCTATCAGGTGGCTAGAAACAACCCTCTTTGGGCTGGTGGCAGTAGGAAGACAACAGCCCCTTGGCTCCTCACCTAGCAGAGCAGAGGAGCCAAGGGTTGCTCAGTATAACCCAGACTTTGCTGTGGTGGGCCCAGCCTCCTGCACAGTGGAGAGAGACAATTTGCTTCATATAGAGCCTCTGGGGAGCCTTTGCTAATTACAATAAGTATTCTCTCTGATTAACAATGCCAGCAAGAAAGAAGCTCTCTCCACCCCTCTGGTTTTGACCCTCCTCCATCCAAAACATTTCTGTCCCTCCACCATCACAGACAATGGAGGTAGAGAGCTGATCTGCACCTCCCTGGCTCTGCTGGACATCTTCAGATCCCATCCTAACAGCTCCTTCACACAACTGTGGGCAACAGCAGCTGTATGATTTCAAGAGACAGCCAAAAAAGCTTTAGCTCTGCATTTCTGGAGAAGGTAAATTGGAGCATGCCAGCATCCTGAAGGTCAGCAGTGGCAGCAAGGACTGTCCTCACTGGTTCCCATTGCAGTCATGGGTGATGACTCCTCACGCCTTACAAACAAGGTATCCAGGAGATCAGCAACAAAAAATCCCACCAAACCAGGCGAGCAGATCTGTCAGCATCAGTCCTTGGCTATGCTGCTGGCCATGAACAGACAGTCATGTGTCAAGCACTTATTTAACAAGAAAAAATTAAAAAAACGCCCCTTTAAATGTATGTTCCCATCATTACTTCAGCCTCCCTGGTCTCTATTCTCACCTTTCCCACCACTCTTTAAAAGCACTTCATTAACTTCCTTGCAGTATCATCTTTCCCACACACTCTTTGATCTGGCTGAGGCACCTTCCCCATAGCCCTTGCACATTCCGAAGACCATTTCCTAGAAATTCACACTTCATCTTCCCTCACCCACCCCTTGGCATCAGTTTCTCTCCCTCTTCAGCGTGATCTTCTTGGCTCTCATTCCCAGGAGACTGATTGGGGACTACTTGCCAATATGCAAAGAAATGCAAAGGGGAAAAAATACTGCAGAAATATTGTCCTGATCACCGATATGAGTTGTCTGGCAGTGTCTCCCAGACCTCCTGCAAATAGAGAACAGAGATTGGGGCTCTGGCCAAATTGCCTTGAACCAAACCACTGCTAAACGCCAGCATGTAATCCTCTGGAGTCCATTATTCTACAGAAATAACAGAAAATCCGTAAGATGAGCCCTAGTCTCAGCCCATCTCAAGTGTTTCTTGAGAAAACACATATGTGTGCAAAGGGGACACAGCGGGTAGAGCTCTTTTCTGCAGATATGTTTCCAGATATCCCTTTCCTAATGACATTAAGGTTGATCCCCTCTGGTTCACAGAGACATAGCTTGCTCTCTTCTGCAGTCCCTCCTAAAACGAATACTACTCTTTTTCTTTTTTCATGAAGCTGCATTTGGAGTGCATTGAAATGTTTTGTTACCAGGGAAAGTTACAGCAGTGGGGAGCTCCTTGTAAACTAAAACTGCAAAAACTCAAATGTTAAATGACTCATGGGAAGTACCTGCATTAGTGTCAGCTCAGCCTACTGGTATTTCTTCTCCCAAATTTCACCCAGTGGCTATTCCTGCTTGATGTCTCAACGTGGAAAGTACCTCCCAACTTCTTCAAAAGCCCAACTCAGTTCCTCATGGCATTGTTTTAGCTCTGATGGGAGCTGAATCACATACCAGCAAGTCCAAAGACAGACCAGTGTGATATTTGACTTTCCGAGAGCTGCTAAGGCCTTCATAGTCTCCTGCTGGGGCATTTGAAAAAAGAGGACAATCTCCAAAGTCCTAGCTTAACTGGGAACAGACTTTTTAATAGAGCCTGTAGTGATAGGACAAAGGGCGCTGGTTTTAAACTAGAACAGGGATGACTCAGACTAGATGTAAGGAAGAAATCTATTTTGATGAGTGTGGTAAAAAACTGGCACTGGTTGCCCAGAGGGGTGATAGATGCCCCATTCCTGCAAACATTCTAGGCCAGGTTGGATGGGGCTCTGAGCAACCTGATCTAGTTGAAGATGTCCATGCATATTGTGGGAGAGGTACAGTGGATGGCCTTTAAATGGTCCCTTCCAAACAAAACTATCCTATGATTCTATGAACTGACATAAGAATCAAAACCAGTGCTGAGCTTCGATATGTGGCTGCTCAAACCCCTTTTGACATGGGAATTCCCTTCCTGATCAGCCTCAAAAATGATTGCCAGAAGTGGGCAGATACAGTGACTCCCACTGCAACATTCATCACTCCAGCCAGCAGCAAGGATAAAACCTTACACAGCTGAAATGCAGTACACAAAGCTCAGCTGAGGTATTTGCACAGTATATATTGCCTCTTCCCTCCTCACAGCACTTCCACAAATTCTCCCTTTCTGGCTCTGCAATTGCTTTGCAGATGGGATACAATCCATTACTACCAGTTAAAAACTCCCTTATGGAGCAATATGAAGCATTCATAGGCTAACATGCCACTTGGTTAATAGCACTGATGAAAGATAGGAGAAATAGTTACTGGTCATCTTCCAATCCAAGAAAGAGACTCCTGCATTGCCAGATAATCAACAAAGACCGTAGTCAGGTACAGGCATGCTTTATCATTGTGTGGAGCAATCGATAGCTCTCTCTGAAATGGGGAAAGAAACATGCCCCAGGCATTTACAGTTCATCTGTGTACAGTGTGCATTTGAAACTGCATCAAATTGCCTTGGATTGCTGCCTACCAGCTGCTTTGTCGATAAAGGCAGGAAGCCAAGGTATCCCCTCATAAAAGGAAGAGGAGTTATCCTCTTGCAGCACTAGGGAGCTTCATCTGGGGAAAACACCTTGGACCAGAAACCACTAGCAGCATCACTTGGGATAGTGAGGGGAAAGTCACTGGGACAAAGCAGCCCGCCCTGGGGCTGGTTCAGCGATGACATCTTCATTTCTATGGCTGTTGAGGTGTGCAGAGATCCCAGTGATAAGTTTTGGCCATCTAACAGGTCTAGGGGACTTGTTAAACCCACTGATTTCAATAGAAGCTGCGGGGGGTGCAACATCACCCACAGGTTTCTGGTGCCCATAAGTGGCTGCAGGGCTCTGATCTTTATAACTTGCTCATCCTTTCTGCATGGCAAATGCTCTGAAACAACCTCAAGGAACCAGTGGTGGTTAATGCAGCCAATGTTGGATTAAGTTCCTAGCAGGGCTTTAGCCTTCTACCCAATCCCACATCTCTCCTTGAGCCTGCAGATGCCCTGATACCTTATCCCTTCTATGCTGATCCACTGCAACATTGTGTGGCAGGACCCATGCAGAAAACTCACACTGAGATTTCCGTGCCAAAAAGCCTCCAGTATTAAAATCTGATTTTAAAACCAGACTGCAGAGGAATCCCAGGTCTTAGCTGATGGTGGAGAAAGGTGGAAGAGAGGAAAGCCTTGTTCCTTGTGTTGTTGGAAATTAATGTTTCTCATTACACTTGATTTCCTCCTTCTCTCCCTTAAAGACTTTTCTCATTAGGGAGATGAGCTATCGCCTTCCTCCCTGGATGAAAACCCACTGCTTGGGGACTGGTCCCCCACATTGGGAATGCAGATATTTGGGCTATCTCCAGTTGCCCTGGCAACCACCAAGCTGGAATTCCCTATAGCCAAAATTCAAGGAATAATTAAAAAATTATACAAGGGGAGGTGTTTTAAAGTTTGTTGTTTGATGGTGTAGGGACACAGTTGCCTCATTCTTCATTCTGCACCCCTCAACCTCCCTGAACATGCACCTCAGCAAAGTGTCGCAGCTGGAATTGGGGCTGAAGACCCAAAATCACCCAATGAAGCTTGAGGTATATGAGTAAGAAGTGCAAAACCACCAAGTTGTCTCTACGGTGGGGCAAAGAGAAAAGAATTGCTCTAGAAGGGGATGAAACCTACCTAAAACCAGACACATTCTTGGAGATACCCTCTATCCCTTGTCCATGGCAGAATAGGATGCCCAGTCTCCCTCGTTACTGCTTCCCACCCCATTCTTGGCTGCACCTTCCAAACCCATGTTCCACACAATAACCAGGTGCACTGGGATGAACTAGATCAGCTCACTCATCCAGCAAAAAGCCCCTAAACTTCCTCTTTCCCCTCTGCTGGGTCAGCATTTCAACAAATCAGGGTGATCAGCCACAGGGTTACCAGCTGTGACACAGGAGTGGGAAAAACAAGATCTGTCTTTCCCATGGCAGCCTACAGTTAGAGCAGATCAGAAATGACATGAATCTATTAGGCACGGTGGACAGATCCTGGTAATTTCCAAGGTTTTTGCCAATATTAATTCTGGATTAACAGCAAATAGAGCAACTTTCAAAGAAAAGAGGTAAAAAGGAAGGGCAGAAGTCCACCTATCGCAAATAGAGTTGTTATTCTAGCAAAGGACAGAGGAGTTATATTAGCAATAGTATTTAATCAGAATGAAAATTTTGGGATTGTATTCTGCCTCTTACATCAGCCAAGTAAAGAAAAAACAAAGTCTTTATAGCAAAGCTCACCAGGCTCACTTGACTGCCAACACTAATTGGGGTCAGGGAAAAGGAATTTTACTGGAAAGTGAAACAAGTACATAGGTTATGACAGAGGCCATAAATCCTCCAGACTGAAAAAAAAAAAAAAAAAAAAAAAAAAAGAAGAAGAGAGAGTTGGCTCATCCTCTCTTTAAATATTGGGGAGGCTAACTGGCAGCTGGAATTGTGGCTCCAGAGCACCAGGATGTTCCAGAGTTGCTTCTTTGACAACAAAATTGCATCAGAGATCTTTCTCCCACTTCTCCACCCATTAATTATTCTGTAAAATTAGAATAATTACTGACTAAAGTGCAGCACTAGCAGCAGCTACACTTTTCCAGTGTGGACTCTCCCAGGCTGAGCTCAAATGATGCCACAGATGAAATCGTGGTTGGGTCTCCAGATCCCATATACCAATTTGAGCAAACAGCAAAACTAGCTTAAACCAGCCTACACCCAGAGACCATTAAACCCTTAACTGCAGACACACCCTCCTTCCATAATAAAGAGTCTGTTGCTGACAAGGTTACTTTTTTTTTTTTTTTTTGGTGAATCCATTGAAAGTAGAAGTCACCCAGGCTTTTCCGTTACCTGCTTCAGACTCATTCTTCCTGCAGAAAGGTTCCCCACATGCACACTGGAAAGAATTGTATATACTCCATCAATAGATATTATTAAACCTCACAAAGAAGCTTTGGTGTAAATAGGAATGGTGTTTTCTGACTCAATTCTTACTTTTTGTTGTTTGCTGCTTTGGAGGACACTTCGCAAGCAGTCCTGGTTTTATACTCAGTGTTTATGACTTCTTGGATTTAGGGAGATGAAAGATAATGGGAATCCAAGAAGTATCTTTTTTTTATGTCTGATCCTGCATTTTAGATGGGTTTGAGAGAGTTCAGTGGAATTATTCTAGGTGTCAGTAACAGCAGGATGAGAATTAGTCCCTTGGCTCTTCCAAATTACACTTGATTTCATGGAGCCCTCCATCAGGAGATATTGCACAAGTTGCTTTTGGGGAATAAGTTTTCACTCTTCACACTGATGGTTTTATCATTGGGTACTACAAAGCTTCTCAGACAGCAGAGCCATCCCCAATTACCCAATATATAAAGAAGGGGATATGCAACCCTGTTTCCCTCACCAGTGCATACAAGCATTGGGATGAGGGGATACTCAGACACTGGGATGGTGGCTTTAGCCCTTATGACTCAATGTAAAGAGACACCAAGGGCCTGAACAGGAGCTAAAAATCCTCCTGCAGGTGCCTGAACACTTTTTGCTCCATCTTCCTGCTTAGTGGCAAAAATCAGAATTAAATGCAGGGAATGAGAAAGAAAAAAGAAAATATTTCTCCATGAATTTCTTTCTGCTTTAATTATTTTACCCAGACAGATCATGGAGCAGATCCTCATGGAAACTTTGCTAAGGCACATGGAAAATAAGGAGGTGATTGGTGACTGCCAACACGACTTTACTAAGGGCAAATCCGTCTGGACAAATTTCATGGCCTTCTATGACGCTGTTACAGTGTTGGTGGATGGGGGAAGAGACTGATGTTATCTTCCTGGACTTGTGCAAAGCATTTGACACTAATCCACACAACATCCTACTCTTTGGAGAAACATGGATTTGGTGACGGATGACTCAGTGGACAAGGAATTGGCTGGATGGTCATACTCAAACAGTTGAAGTCAATGGCTCAGTGTCCAAGTAGAGACTAGTGAAGGGTGAAGAAGCTGGATAAAGAGAGACAAGATTCTGCTCCCAGATCTGAACAAGAACCTCACTGCTCTGCATCAGGTCTGTCTTTGCATAAGTTGAATCTCACCAAAACCCATGGAATTTGGGTTGTGGACAGCCAGAAGGGGCAAGGAATGAAAAAACAAGACACCATTCCTCATTTTACCCAGACCCTAGTTATCTCCATTAACTTTTCTCCTCTCTGGACATAGAGAAATTACTGAGCCAAAACAGCAATGATTTTTGAGCATCTGACCTGTGTTCTCCATCCTTTAGGAAGATTTTTGTAGAAGTTACATGGGATAGAGTAGACAAGAGCAAGGGCAAAGCCAAATTGTTGAGCATTAGAAGCTTTTCACAACCCCAAAGCCAAAACCAAACTTCCCCTCAACTCACTATGCAGGCTGCAGAGAAGACATTTGGGATTGATCTAGAGGGAACCCTACAGCTCCACACTGTGGGTCTGTTTTCAAATATAGAATCAAAGATCATTGAATTCAACTGTTAACCCAGCACTGCCAAATCCACCACTAAACCATGTCCCCAAGTGCCACATCTATGCATCTTTTAAAGACTTCCAGGGATGGTGACTTCACCACTTCCCTGGGCAGCCTATTCCAATGCTTGACAACCCTCTTGGTAAAGAATTTCTCCCCAGTTTCCAGTCTAAACCTCCCCTGGCGCAACTTGAGGCTGTCTCTTCTTGTCCTATTGCTTGTTACTTGGGAGAAGAGACTGACACCCCTGCTCAACTGAAAGTCTCTGCTCTAATTTTTTAAATGTAAAAAAAAATTCCTTTATTTAAGAAAGAAATGGAGAGACCTATTAAAATAATCTTTGTTTCAACTGTTAATGTCACAAATCCCATCTGCTTTGCAAGAGGTCACAGATAATTTAACATCCTAGTGTTTAAACAGCTAATAGTTTATTCCACTTGTGCAAGCTTTCCCCTCCAGCATCCCTCATTGCTGAAGGAGGAAATCAAGGTGCAGGGTGGTGTATTTTGGGCTCTGACAAAAGGAAACATGTGCGGGCAGGTCTGCCAGCCCATACAGTAAGTTCCAGCTCATTTACATTCATGGCTGAAATAGAATTTCTGCCACCCTGAGAGCTGCATGCCTTGAAAAGCCACATTTTATGAGCAAACAGCAGCCCAACTCCCAGGAATTTTGCCTTGAGTGGGAAAATTCTGGTGCTACCTCCAGCACGGGCAAATTAGGAATTAAATCACCATGGCACCAGGGTTTGCAAAAAAATTCCCTCCTCTGCTCAGCCCAGGAAGCTTTCAGGGTAACAGCAGTTTTATTCCAGGTGGAGGAATTAGTCTCCCATGGCTTTTGAAAGCAATTTTACTCTCCAGCCTCAAGTCAAGTTGTGCTTGTGCCCAGAGGGGGCATTCCTGAAAGGAAATTGTCTGCCAAACCTCCTGAGCAGCTGGGGGCAGGGGAAGGCAGGTGTTGGAGTGGTGTAGCACCTCCCAGTAACACCAGGAGGGATTCACAGGGTTTTCTGGGAGCAGACAGGATGTGAACATCCCAGCCTCGCCATTGCCTCCTGGCTATACCAGCTGCAGGACTGCTCAAACTGGGAGCATTCGCAGCCACACACAGTTTCCCAGCAGCCTGGAGTTGCACAGAATCAATCAAAGGCGCCTGCAATGGATATAAGAGCTCAGGACTTGAGCTAAAATCACCCCAGCCATGACCACCCCGAATTCTTTTACTCACAACAACCCCTATTTCTCATCCTCCCCCCTCTGCTTTTTAACTGTGAGCATTTCAAGGAACAGGAGATTTCACTATCCTGGCACTCACTGAGTATAGCAGAGACCTCATCTCAGCCAGGAACACAAATGTTTTCTTAACACAACTCAAACTCAGTCCAAATAGAATTTTTATCATAGTGACATGTCCCAGAACGGGAGGTCTCCATTATTTTGGCACAAACTTGGGAAGAGACCAGCCCTTCACATGGTGTTTCATAGCCAAAGGAGAGGTTTACACAGTTTTATGCCAGTCTTGATGCATACTGCTGTAGAAAGACCTAGTGAAGCTACAAACAGATCCCCCTGCCTGATCATCTCCAATGCCCAAGGACTCACTGTGAGGCACAAAGGGAACCTGTGAGTACCCATGCTTTACCAAATCACAGCAGTAACCTGGGCAGGATTAAACCCTCCTTCTTTCTTAAGTAGTCAATTACTGAAAGCTAAAATGATCACAGCAAGCTTCTCCTAAAGCCTCAGTCCTTGGTGATGCACACCTGACTGTCCAGCTGGTTCCTATGCTGGATTCTGCTACAATGATACTTTTTCCTTGCACACCAGCTCCCAGAGACATGATATAATTCCAGAGGAATGCACTCTGGGATGAACACCATATGATAGCAAGGAATGTTAAGAGGTGCAACACAGGGAGGTGAAACCTACCCATGATGGATACTTGGTTTTAGCTGTTATAAGAGCTGATTAGCCATGTCACTGTGCCCAGCTGGGAAATGCCACATGCCAGACATGTATCCAGGATGGCATATACAACGTTCTACCCCAAGAAAGCGCGGGTTGCAGGGACCCACCAGCAGCTATCTGGTCAATGAGGGAAAGGTGTGATGTCTATGGATGTACCCCACATTCCTGACCCGGTTTGCTTCCAACCACCCCAGAGGGCTGATCTGAGCTGCAGAAGGACCATGCTGCATGGGTAGACATAGATGGGTTCCCTTGGAGAAGCTAAGCTAGGCAGGAGGAAGGAAGCAAACGAGAGGAGGGATGCTGCCAAGGAGAAGGTGATATATCCCAGGGTGATGTCTCTGTCCTTTCATGGTGAGATACATCCCTCAGGAGCAAATAGCTCAACACAGCCCCATCATTCTGTAGCTCTAATGGTTTTCCAGTTATTTTTCCTTGAATCAGAGAATTATCAAGGTTGGAAAAGACCTCCAAGATAATTAAGTTTATTGAATTAGAGGTGGCTGCAAACCAGGTGTTCAAACACTGACGGCGTGCCTTGGTCCTGGTGCACCAGCACTGGCAAAAATCATGAGAAAGCAGAGGGAAAACAAATTCACCCTGGCTGGGCAACACCTCCCACCTTGGCAGAAGGATTTTAAGAGGACCCCATGCATCTTTAGTTTTCTGAAAGGCAGCAGCTGCCAACCTCCCTTCTAACAGCCCTGCGGGGCTACTGACTTCAATAAGGAAGGACAAAGTGAGGAGACCGGGAGTTAGGCTGGGTGCCCCTTGGCACTGCTCCAGCTGGCCCAGGCTTCTTTGTGGGCTTTTTATTTATTTTTGTGGTTGTTTTTTTTTTTTCGTGCACAATAATCTCTGGGCCCCTTTGCCGTCTGTGGCTCTCAGCGTGCAGCTGCAGACCTTCCACTGAGGAGATAATAAATACAATCCTGGCCATTATTGTTGCAAACAGCACAGCTGGAGGCTCCCATCTCATTCTCCTTATGGCCTTTCTTTGCCCCCCCTCCAACAATTCTTGCATCGTGATGCTGCAAACAATGAAGGCCAGTGAAACTGCTTGGTAGAGCATCAGCTGGGGCTTCAGGAACTGCCCCCACCCCAGCAAAGCCCAAGACATTTGCTACACCTAGTGGGTCTCCTACAAGATTTGGGAAGGGGGGACTTGGGGAGGGGAAGGGGATCTAGGTAAAGCTGATAAAGGGTTTACCAGCAGGGCATTGTCACCTCCATGGTTCCCACCCCAGATGATGTTCCATTGCCCCAGTGATGTGGTGGTGTGGTATCTCCTCAGCTCTTTTCCTCTCCTCCTTGGCCCAGGATCCTCCAATCCCTCTTGTCCGGTGCAGGATTTTGGAGAAAGATCATCTGAAGTGGATTGGGAGAGCCATTTCCCCAGCAGGACCCATTTCTCACCACTGATGCTACCATGAGTCCTCATTTGTATGCCTCAGTTTCCCTCCTGACATCGTAAGAATGACTAGCACCAGGACCAAGAGGTGTTCATTCCTGTGTGGGGATGGAGGTACCATCCCTGTGTTTAACTGGGAAGGGAGGACAAGTCAGTTCAGTCTGGTCTCACCCTATGCAGAAGCCTCCAGCCAACACCACTGCCACACCTGGTCCAGCCAAATGCTACTGCTGTCCTTGTGCACCATGTCCAGCTCCTGCCTTGTCTGGACAATCTAGGGACACAAGCCCTCCTTTGTCTTCTGCAAAATGGGCAGTCAGGCCAGGGGACAGGGAAGGGAACATTTGGGGAGGTGGTTGTGGTGGAGAAGTATTTAAGTGCCCCTTGGCGCTTGGCCATCAGTGTTCATGGACTCTGAAGTATGGCTGCAGTCTTGGTGACAGCCAACAGCATGCCTGCCCCTCCAGGGACCTCTGCTCACCTGTGCTGCTCAGCTCCCCTGCCTCCATTCTGCCCCGACCTTTGGCCCTTGCTTTTGGTGCTGCTCTGTGGCACTTCTGCCATAACATAGAGTTGTTGTGAGTCATCTGGATGCAGACAACCATCTTTCTTTACCATTTAACTGTGTATTAAGCCACTTCCTAACCTAATTTGGTCTGATTTCACAGACAGGCAGAGTAAGACTTCCCAAATCACAGCATCCTAATACACACCCCCCATATGGGCTACATGGTGCTGACTCCTTGCACCCTGTTCCTCACCTCAATGCCAGGAGAGGCCACCATGCATCATGTTGTCAACACAGGAGACAGAGACATCACCATGGAACATTTCGGGATGGTCCAGAAAAGCAATGCTCTCCCCCATTTTATGAGACTGGCCAGGTTCAGAGTTACTCTATAATCCTGTAATCCTTTGAATTGGAGATCTCTTGCAAGAGGTTGCAACACTCTAGTCCTGGATAGACAGAGGGGCTGCACCTTCTGCATGAACTGAACCTTTGCACTGGGATTAAAGGGCTTTGGAGAAAGGATCTCATCCATCCTGCTCTGTGAAACTTGGCCTCACCACGCCCCCTCCTACAGACATCTCATTCTCAAGGATGGGAGGAAAATGGTCAATTTTGAGGTCAGGGATGTCTCCTGTCCCACTTGGAGACTAGTCACACAATCCTCACACACATGTGTCACTTCAGACATTATGGGGTTAAGGAATCACATCTAGCCTGACCTGTCTGTCACAACACAAGTTTGCCTCTAAGTTTTAATTTTTTCTGATGAGGGTGATCTTATTCAAAGTAAAAAAACCCACCAAAATTCAGTAAAATTAGTCCCCATCCCTGAAAGTGTTGGCCAGGTTTGGATGGGACTCTAAACAAGCTGATCTAGTGGAAGATGTCTCTGCCCATGGCAGTGGAGTTGGAACTGGATGATCTAAAAGGTCCAACCCAAACCATTCTGTGATTTCTCTCCCCACTCCAGGGTTTGAGTTGCTGGCAAGAATCAGGGAAAAGGAGAGGAGTCAACATCACAGAGACACAGACTGCAAAAAAGAAGCAGGACGGGAGAAAGAGGAAGGAAAAGAAATCCCACAGGTGCTGACACTCAGATATTACACACAGCACATGGCCCTCTGTTAGCTACGGTGAAGATAAAGTGCTTTTTTTCCAGTTTGCCACTACTCTGACATACAGATCGCCAGCCTGCTTTATGCAACTCAGGAATGTGCCATGCTGAGGCAGCCAGGTTGGTTTAATCTCTTGCAGCATTTGCTCCCCAGAGCAGGGAGGCTGAGGAAATTCCCAGAGCACATATTTCCTTCTCCCCTGCCGCACACCATACATACAATGAAAACTCCCAGGAAAATAAAATAAAAAAAAAATTGCAGTAAAAAAATCTCCGGGTTTTCCTCTAACGAGTGGCTGTGCCATTCATACATTTGCCTCGATAGGTTCAGGTGCCAAGTTTTAAGACAAGAAATGGCTTGCTCAAGACACCCTTTATCTCTTCCCAGCCCTCAACATCTCAGTGTTCGGAAGTTTCTTTTGATAGCCTGCCAAGGCAGCCAGTACTGCAGCTACCGTGCAGAGCCTGGGGGTGTCAGGGGTCAGGAGGGCTGCCGGACAAGGATGCCTTGTCTTATCCCACCCTTCAGCCTCTGCTTCTCCCCATCAACCAGCTAACAAGAGAGAGGAGAAGAAGGAGGAGGAGGAAGGAGGAGAGACTGAAAGAGGATAAAAAAAAACCAACAGTTAGGGATGGAAGGAAAACTCTAAACCTCTGAAAGACAGCAGCTCACCTTTTTTCTTCCCAGCTCTGTCTAGCACTGGGGTGGCACACACAGCTGCTCACTGTGGGGCTGGGGAAGCACAGAATGTTTTTCCTATTAAAAAAAAAACAAAAACAAAAACAAAAAACAAAAAACTTTTTAATGTTTTTTTTGTTTTGCAGCTCTTTTGTCCCAGTTTTCTCCCATCCATTCAATGCTGGTTAAATTCTTGAACTCAGTTTTAAAGAATAGGGATGCAAGAGAACCTCAACCCAACCCTGCAGCCTTTCCTGCCAGTCCAACTTGTCGTCAGAACTTAACGTCCCCGGGGATGCCTGTCATCATTCACGCATTTTGTCATTGGTCCCCAATACCTCTGACAGCAGCTGCTCAAATTCGTTCAGAAAACAGCAACGTCTCTCCTGCTCCAGGATGCCGCAAGGGAAAATCTGTCCCAGTGCTGCCACCCAACCTCCTGCCTACCCCGGTGTCAAGCATCACTCACCCCGCACACCCGCTCCAGAGATGGGAGATAGCAGGTCCTTCTTGGGCCATTTATAACCCGCATGGGAGCAAGCACCGCCCACATCTTCTCTGGGACAGGGACTGGCTCCCGTGGGTCATGATAGGACATGATCCCTGCCCTGCACCAGGGCGATGGCAGACACCGACCCGGTTTGCCTGTGAGCGCCTGGCTGCTGACAGCAAGCAGCCAGCCAAGTTTGGCCTGCAAATCCTCCCAGGGACATGCCAGCCTGCTTCTGGTCCTTCCAGCATCTAACACGTCCCGCGTGCTTCTTATTCCTGTAGAGATCGGCGAGACACTGATCTAACTCTGCCTTTCCCCAGCACCTCTTCTCCCGGTGTTCGCTCCACTCCTTACCGCTGCAGTAAGCCGGTGCTGCCAGCTGACCCTTGGAGCGGCGATCAATGCGATATTTCAGCGCAACGCCAGCCATCGGCACCGGCTGCTCTCTGCAGAGCAATGGCACAGTGTCCGCCCAGACAAGTTTCCTACTGTAACTTCAGTGAATGCTGTTATTCAGGCTCACGGCAGCTGATTTATCATGGCAGGCACACGGGGAAAGCTTTCCATTTGAGAGACTGGGGGCTGTTCGTTCCGCTGCCGCGATGAGCAGCGTGAGCTCAGCAGAGCTCGCCGTGCTCCAATGTCTTCGCTGCCACCAAATTACACTCGCTAACCGTGGTGGAGAGCGTCGGTTAACGGAGGCAATGCCACTTCCCCACGACACAAGCCACCAACTTTGTCCTCACCACCAGCTCCATCCTCACTACTCTCCTCCCAGCCTTCTCAAATACGAAGCAAGAGGACTAAAGCTGACAGACCCTTTTGTTTCCAGAGAGCTTGGCACGTGTTGTGGTTTACTGAGCTAATAAATCTGCCGTGGGCTGCGCCTTTTAATGACTGCAGCACTAATAACAAGTTTCCATGGAGCTGCTTAAAAGTTTACAGGGTGTGTGCGCTATGAGGGGAACCCCGGGCTTTCTGACCTTTTATTTCAGAAGTCACAACCAGCAGCTTCCCTCTTTCTTTCTTTCTTCCTTTCTTCCTTTTTTTTTCAATGACAGAAAGAATAAATCCTGGTCTGCTTCCTCTCCTCCCTCCCCAAACACACCTTCCTCTCCAGCTTAATCCACTTATAGAGGGAAAATTCCCAAGCAGGGAGCTTTGCCGTGCCTTTATCAATGCAATCCGGGGAGAAAAGACCCCCCCTCTGCACCTTCCAGCTTCTTCACCCTATCCAGCCGACCCCTCTATGCTTTCCCTCTCTTCCCTTCTCTTTTCTCCCCTTACCTTGAGTAAGCTGCAAAACCCTGAGAGCCTCCCAGCACCAGAACCCCAACAAAAAGCCCCCGAGAGGGGAGTGGAGGGCCAGGAAAAGAGGGGGAGGGAGAGGAAGGGAGGCAGGGAGCCCTATGTGAAATCAAAGCCCCGAAGCCGAGCACGGGAGGCGGTGCGGAGCCTCCAGCTGCTGCTCGGATTACTCTGCAGCCGTGGCAATCCCGAGCACTCTACAAACCACCATTCCACTGGAAGAGGAGAAGGGATTCCAGCTGGAGAAACTTCATGCGGGCTGGGGGCTCCTACCACCCCTTGCATCTCAAAATTCCCCTTTAGAAAAACCAGAGGTGGAGAAAAAGTAGTTTATCTCCACCCGAGACTTCTGTCCTGCCCCCTACCCTGATACCCCGGCCGCCGAGCCTCCACGCGAGGAATAATTCATCACACCAAAAAAGTTTCCGCACTCTGAGGCTCGGGAGGGCTTCCCAGCAGGCATCCCCGGGGAGGCGATAGGGAGGACTCAGCCCATTTCGATACAGATAGCTCGCCCCCTCCCCAAAAATAAGCCCCCCATGGTTATGCACACCCGGGGAAGAGGGGGGTGGTTGGGGTGGGGGGGGGGGGAAGAGAGGGTACGCGAGGGGCAGGGTGAGGATGGAGCGGGACAAGGAAATGATGGGGGCCAGGGAGGGGATGGGGGCACAGGGAGGGACTCACCGGAGCCGGGGTCGGTTCCCAGCGCCGGTCCGGTTCCCACGGCGGGGCGGCCGCGCAGCGCCGGTTCCCACGGCGGGGAGCGGGCGCCGCCGGGAGCCGGCAGCAGCAAGGCTTGGGGCCAGCTGTCCCCTTCTTCCCTCCTCCTTCTCCCTTCTCCTCCTCTTCCAAGGCGTGCAGCTGGCTGGGCAAGATGACTGCCCCCTTCCCCGCAGGAGGAGAGAGGAGGGAGCTCAACAGATGGCTGCACACAAGGGAACATCTGGGAGGAGGAGAAGGAGGAGATGGAGGAGGAGGAGGAGGAGGAAGGAGGCAGGACTTGCGCTAGGCTGTGCCACTCCTGAACTGGCAGACCCCCCTTATGGGGGAAAGGAGGGGGGAGGTGTCAAGTCGGCTTTGCACACACACACACACAGACACACTCCCTCTGCATCCCCTCTGGACAAAATTCCTTGTTGTCCCTTTGCTTTCTTGCGAACAGAAAGCTTACTTACTCCAGAGGTAACCTCGCAGCACAACCTTGTTTCCAGCCCTGACCTCTGCAGGGCTGTATTTGCAGGAGTGAGTCCTATTCCTGAACACTGCCTGCACCCAGTTTTTCAGGCTTTTAGGGCCAAGGTCAGCTCTGGCACTCCAGGGTGCACACTAGGATGAGGCAGCACCAAAGTTTGAGCTATACCAGCAGGCAGGAAACTGGGACTTATAAACTTTATGCTGCAACCCCTGGAATAGAATACCTCCCCCCCTCCCCATCAAACAGATATTAATCCACACTTTTGGGAACAGAGAGTCTGAACTCCATCACTGGAGGATCAGCTCCCTGGGGCTTTGAAAGAGCAGCCCTTCACCAGAATTTCTTGACTATTACATGTAATGGCCTGGTGGTGGCTTGAGTCATGATTTTGATACTGGAAAGAGAATCAGAAGTCTACCTAGTGTCATGCTGCTGTGACACTGGAAAAGGCAAAGGGGATTGCAAGAGACCACAGTCACAGAGGACATACCCTGTGGCTGGCTGCAGCTTCTCAAATTGCACTCCTTGTGTATTCATGGCCTTTGCCAGGTCCCAAGCTGTGTGGTTGCTTGTTTCTTAAGAAGTTTAAGTCAAGAAGGTACAACTACGCTCCCTGTGCTTACTTTTAGTAGCACTGAAATACCTACATGCTCCATACTCACATCAGAGTTTGCTCAGGCCATGACCCTCAAGCAAGTATGTTGCTGAGATTTGTGTTTAGCATCTCTTAGTGATGAAAAAGAGGTAAAAAGGGGTTTTTTTTGGCTCTGCTCAGCTGCTTTCTCCAAGTATACCACTCCATGAAGATTTGCTGGGCAACCCCCACCCCTCCCAGCGACTCCAGCTCTGATCAGAGGGACTGAGGCTCGAGGCAGGAGATACTAGGGTGTGAGGAAGATGTCGCAGTTACTCCCCTCCACTCTCTGCATTTCCACATAAAAGTGTGGCTTATCTGCATTATGTGCTCTCTTTGTGCCCATGTCTCATGAGCTGCCTTTTGGGAATCATCATCATACCACAAGAGCTCTACCAAGGGGCAGACCTAAGGAGCCAGCGAGAGGAAATCTCTGCTCAGGACTCAGATGACCCAAATGCTTTTTGGGGAAAACCATGGGAAAACCCCTTAATCTGGGTTGTGATTTTCCATGTAAACACCACGGTGGTATCTCCAGACATGAACAGTCTCCTGCAAGGGTCCATTCAACTGGGTCTTTACACTGTTCACATTTTATAGCTCTGGGTAGGGGAAGTTGTTAAGCTGGAAGCTTTTGTTTAGTTTTCCATTTTGTTCATTTTTTCCATGTCTCATGTTAGGCCTTTGCCATGTCAAAGTTGGTCTCAGTAAAGCAAAATACCAGTTCAAAGCTGGAGAAATTGGGAATTAAATCCTGTGGCTGAGATCCAGTTAATATATACATATATGTAAAAAAGTCCAGTGTATATATGTATATATATATGCATATCTATATTTATGTATCTCTCTCTCTCTCTCTATATATATATATATGTATATGTAAGTCTAGTAGTCTGCACTGCCAGGACTGGTGATTTGAAAGGAAGAACAGGAAAACATGAATCTGGCTTAAAACCTCTGAATTTTGCTAAAGAAAGATCTGTAAATTTTGTTTTCTTTATTTGCGGCCTAAAATAAACAAGCAATATTTTCTGTTAGAGGGACAATTGTGTACTCAGATATTTTGTTGGTCAGGTAAAAAATAATCAGCTGAGAGATGTTCTGGCTTGAATGTCTAATGCTAAGAGAGATTTTAATAGAAGTTCCCCAGTTCGAGGGAGTTGGCCAAAATCATGACAGGGAGAGGTCTGACAATTCTGGATGACCTGTGGATAGGGATTAGCCCTGGTGTGATGCTAACAAAAAATTAGTTATGCATCCATCTGATTCTTAGGTACTTCAAACAACAACTGTACCAGTGTCTCACCACCATTACAATAAAGAATTTCTTCCTAACTTCTAATCTAAACCTCCCCCTGTCAGACAGTTTGAAGCCATTCACCCTTGTCCTATCA